CAGAGAAAGCTGCATTAGCTCTCTCTCTGGAGATTGCTCCAACGGAACGACTCCTGTCTCTTCTTTTCACCTACGCCACTCATCCTTCAGGACTCCCTGGACCCCGCTAGGGCAGGACCCCGGCACCACCCCAGCTGGAACCACAGATCTACTTGCCACCCCTACAGAATTCCTGTTCTGTACATTTCACGTGCACGGGATCGTGCAGTGTGTGGCTTGCTGACTGGCTTCTTTCCATGCCCGCGGGGTCTCCAGGCTCATCTGAGCTGAAGCTTGGGCCACAGCTTCATTCCTTGGTGTGGCTCATAAAGGTTCTGGCATGTGGACAGACACCCATTGTCATCTGCCAGACCATCCGATGGTCATGGACACTGTACCTACCAGGGACCTCTGCACAGGTCCCTCCCAAACCTTTGCAGACAACACATTGCTGACACGACTCAAGGAGTAGCCACAGAGAGTGCACCCCTCACCCTCTGCTGTGTGCAACACACCTGCCTGAACTACCTAGGGAGCCCAGCCCGGGAGGCTTGAGACAGAGCAGGTCCCTCAGCTCTGACACCACACACACTGTCAAAGTCCACTATCACGGGCAGAGCCACAGGGAAACTGCATTGTTGAGTCCTCCTGGAATTAAATTCATCACTACACAGCACACAGACAGCCCAGGGCACATCACGGAGAGAAGGCTATTCCTTAAGAATGGCCCCACGTAAAACGGAAGGGATGCTTATCCCAACAGATGCAAAATCTAAACATGTAAATACAATGTGAAAAAAGCAAAGCAACACGACTCTTCCAAAGGTTGACAGCTCTCCAGTAACTGACTCCAAAGATATTGAAATGGATGAACTACAAAGAATTCAAAATAATAAGGTTAAAATATTAATGAAATCAAAGAAAATTCAAATAAGCAGCCAAACAAATTAAAGAAGACAATGTAGGATATGGAAGAGCAATTTAATAAAGACAGATTCTGAAAAAGAATCAAACCTTAGAAATTAAAAACTCAATAAGGGGCCTAGGCGGGCTCAGAGGGGCTTCAACCGGACAGCCACAGGGGAAGGCTGTGGTCAGGAGCCGCGGGAGTCCTGCAGGCGCACTGATCACAGAGCTGCTGCTCACCTGACTGGATGCAGGGTCCTGACTGAGCACGACCCACTCAGGAACCCTGATCCATCCATGTCAATTGGACAGGAATGAAGCTCCTTCTCATCCCAGACTCATTGATATGACCTGAGCCTGGCAATGAGCCGTCACCTCTGGATAGGATTGGCTCACGGACGGAAATACAACCCAAGCTGGACATCCTACTCATTGCTGGGAATTTTGCTGGGTTACTGAAAATGGTCCTTTTCTTCTCTACTGTAATGAACCATAACAATTATGTAAGTCTGGAGCTGTTGGAGACTTATTATTCCTTCCACACGGAGACAGCCTCACAGAGAATGAGGTCAAACCCCAGAGGAAATCAAGACAAGATATGTGGTGGGGAGATGAGAGGGAGAAAAAGACACACACCCCCCCAGAGAATAATATTGGTGACAACGTTGAACCACCGGATCCAACAACCATGTCAGGCCTTTCCCTGGGCAGCCAAGATAAATTTAATTTTTGCTTAAAGTATATTGAGTTTTATTTATATTCACTGTGTCCATCTTGCTTGGAAGACTTTGCCAAGCAAATCTCAAGGATGATGCCCCTGTGCCCGACATAAACTACACTTCCATCAATGTGGGGGTGAAGGGAAGGAACACAGGGCTGGGACAGGGCACTGCAGGTGAAAAAGCACTTCTGGACAGCCTGATCCAACAGTGTGGGGAGAGTGTATAAAAAAACAGCACAAGCCAGAATCCGAATACAACAACATTAATCCTCATAGACACACATCTGTTAGTTCCTACCTACCGCACAATTCATTTTCCAAAATAGAAAGAACTTCAGCCCATTATCCTGACCTTCAGAATGGGTGCAGAAAAAATTATCCAATCTGTCTTCTAATTACAGATGGAGTTTATTCCAGGAATTTTGAACCATGACACACGTAAGGAGGCAGGGAGCAAGAGATCCAGAAACACCCAAACTTTCTTAGGAGAAGTGGGAACAACTCAGGAAACAAACATTTTCCATTATGTTGAAAATCAATTGTCACTGCTACGATCCACAAATGAACTGACACTCTGGGAGTACCCAGCTCAGGACTTGACACAATACAGAACCAGCCTCAGCGCCCCTGAGGGCCCTTGTCTATGACACTGGCTTAATGAAGCCATAATTGATGGACTTGATGAGAGACTCCCAGGCTGTCTGAACCACATCCGCCTTCTTCTCGTCCAGCTCCTGTTTGCCCACCACAGTCAGGATCTCCAGCAGCTCACTCTCCAGCAGCTTCTTGGCCAGCTCAGCATCGGCTGCCAGCAGGTTGTAGGCGATGACCAGGCCCTGGTGTTGGACTGACAGATGGTCATGCAGGCAAAGCCGCTGCAGGATCTCCAACCACTGGGATGTCTGGAGAGGGCTGAAAAGGGAAGGAAGGAGTCAAGGAATCAGGAGGGAGACAGAGAGAGGAGATTTGGGGACAAGATAAGTAGAAAGCATTGGCCACACTTACAGCCAAGTAACTTAGCCATGGCCACATATCTGGAAATATAGAGGATTAACATCCTCCATCTATTCACATCTTAAGCAACTTGAGAGTAAAGAGATAGACCCACTGCATGTCTGAGCAGAATGGGGATGTGGAGTGTTCAGAAATGAGAATTCTTAGGCTGGGGATATAGCTCCGTTGGTAAAGGGCTTGCCTTCCAAGCACAAGGCCCTGGGTTCAATTCCCAGCACCACAAAAAAAAAAAAAAAAAGAAAAGAAAAGAAAGAAAGTAAAGAAATCAGAATTCTCACTCTGGGTTCATGGGCAATGCCTGCTTCTGCCAAGCCAAGTGCCCTTTCACACTACAGCTCCATGCAGGGAGGCATGGCTTTGCCTAGAATCAACACCAGAGTCTGGAGTGAATCTTCTCTTCCATTCTTCCTCAATCCACCATCCACAGAAATGAAGATGTCCAATTACTGTGCAAGGGGGAGCAGGACTCTAGATCACTCTGATCACCCTAGGAGACAGTGATAACACTGAGAGTAGAACCAGGAGACTGACTCCCAGCCTTCAATAGACACACCCCAGGCAGCAGAGCAGAATAGGCATTGCATTGGCATGGGTTCTGCAGTCAGAGAACCAGTGTTTCTATCCTAGCTCAGCATTTATACTATCCATATGGCCTTGGTTAGGCTATTCACCCTCTCTAAGCTTCAGGAGCCTCCCCTATCTTCTGCTCCACCTTCCTCTAACATCACGCTGAGTAATGAGATGATTCATGGAAAGAACTTAGCATGGGGGCTCAAAAAGCCCTGGTGACCTGACGCCAATCCAGAGGTTTTCCCCTGGGCTCCCTCATGCCTTCATCTACCCTTCGTCTGCAGGGATCCCTTCCTGCATGTGTTGCTCTCAGATAAGGAGATCGAAGCAGAGAGAGGAAAAGACAAATACCTGCCTTTCAGGCTTCTAAGCACATTTTTTGACACACTGAAAGGTTAATAAAATAGGTACTTGTCACTCCGTTTCTCTATATGCTTAACAAAACACTGTTGAAATCTTAAGAACTGTTTGCTAATCTTGTTCCCAGAATGTGCTATCCCCAACTATGGACTGTCTGCTAATCTTGTTCCCAGAATGTGCTATCCCCAACTATGGACTGTCTGCTAATCTTGTTCCCAGAATGAGCTGTCCCCAACTGCCAAACTACAAAATGTAACTGCTCTCCCTGCCCTCTCCAGGGAAAGTATATAAGCTCTGCTCAAGCTGTTCTCAGGGCTCTATCTCTCTTTGTTATAGAGAGCTCGGGCCCCAGCATGCTGGTCTCCAAATAAACCCACCCTTCTGCTGTTGCATAAGACAGTCTCTTGTGGTCTCTTACTCCGACGTTTCGCTGGACCCTTACAACACTACACTAGGTCTTCTGCCCCAGGAAAGAAAATGAAAACCATCTAACTGTGGAAGGTTCAAGGACTGTTTCTATGCTGATGAACATCTGCTAATGGGTCCCTCTGGAATTTTGCTGGGTGATCAGGGGAAAGGATGACAGAAATTCAATCAGGATCCCAGGCAGGAGGATCTGCAGCCTGGCTTCCCTGGGCACAGCCCAGCTGCTGTGAGACCATAGAGATGCCCAGCATTCAATAGGCCCCAGAGTTGTACCAAAGATGGGCCTGGGAAATCTCATGAGTCCCCCAGCATGTCCATGATGGGACAAGAAGATGGCCAAGAATACTGAGCCCCTCAGGAAGAATGAAGAAGTGCCAGGGGTAGACTGGCAATCCCAAAGGACTCCAGTCCTTCCTAACTAATTGTGCTCTTGGGCTTGTTATATTCTGTACCTCAGTTTCCTCGTCCAGAAGTTAAAGGTAATAATAATACTCACTTAAAAAAAACCTCAATAAGTCAGATTTTTAAAATTCTATGAGAATCCTCACCAATAGACAAGATCAAACATAAGAAAAAATATCAGGGCTTACCAACAAGGTTGGTCAGTTAGTACATGTGATCAGTAATAAAGAAAAAATAAGGAATGAGCAAAATATACAAGCCCTGTAGAACACAAAAAAAGAGAAATCTTATAAATATTTGATAAAAATGAAGGAGCAAAGGTTCAGGGTAAAGGCCTAGAAAACCTATTCAGTGAAATAACAGCAGAGAGTTTCCAAAATCTCAGAAAAAAATATGGACCTCTAGGTTTAGGAGGCATTTAGAACCCCAAATTGATGTGATCAGAAAAGAAATTCTCTATGACATAATAAGCTGCCAAACAGAACAAAGAAAGAATGTTGAAACCTGAAGAGGAGTAGCAGCAAGTCTTTTTACAAAGGCAAACCCATCAGAATAACAGATTTCCTAGAAGAAACTGTGAAGGCCAGCAGGGCATGAAATGATGTATTTCAAACCCTGAAAGAAAATAACTAGCCGGGCGTAGTGGTGCATGCCTATAATCCCAGTCTCTGGGGGAGGCTAAGGCATGAGGATCATGAGTTCAAAGCCAGCCTAAGCAAAAGTGAGGCACTAAGCAACTCAGACTTGTCTCTAAATAAAAATACAAAAAAGGTCTGGGGATGTGGCTCAGTGTTCAAGTGCTCCTGAATTCAATCCCCAATAATAAAAAAAAAAGAAAAAAAAAGAAAAAGAACTGACAGATTGTTATAACAAATAAAGTTGTTCTTCAAAAGCAAAGAAGAAATAAAGTTGAGTATAAAATAAAGTAATTTCTGCCACTAAACCAGCATTACAGAAAATAATTAAAGGAATTCTAAACACAGAAGAGGAAGCAAGATAAACACAATCACAAGAGGATGGAAAAGAATAAATCTTACTAGAAGAGTGGATGAGCAAAAGAGAACTAGGAAAGAATTAAACATTATTGATTGAGTAAGCCATGAAATCTTTAAAATGAACAAAGGAGAAAGAAATGAACATAGAATACATGAAACAATTAGAAGAAAACCTGCAAAACGACAGGACTTAGTGCATATTTTTTCAAGGTAAATCATTCTCTAATCAAATCATGCAGGCTGGGTGATTAGATTATAAGACCCAACAATCTTCAAGAAACCCCTTACTAGAAAACACATACAGACTGAAAGTAAAAGAATGCAAAATGATGCATCAAGCAAAGGCATCTGAAAGCAAGCAGGAGTAGCAATACTCAGGCTAAAGAAATGGAATTCAAGTCAAAATTAGTCAAAAGAGACAAAGACGTTCACTACATATTGATCATAACGGACCATAAAGAAGTTATAGCAACTGTAGATATATATGCACCAAATTTTGGATCACCCAATTTTATAAAACAAACGCTATTGGACATAAAGGGAGAAATAGGCCCCACTGATTCATAGTGGATGATTTCAATACCCTACTCTCACAAACATATAATTAGTTCAGACAAAAAAATCAACAAGGAATCATTAGAGTTAAATTATACTAAGGAGCTTACAGACATCTAAAGACTTAACAGACATCTAAAGAATATAACAGTTGAAAAATATACATTCTTTTAAGCAGATCATGAAACATTATCAAAAACAGATCATGTTTTAAGCCATAAAGCAAGTCTTGACAAATACATAATAAAATAAAATAATTTTTTGTCTTCTATGAGATTATAGTGTGATTATAGTGAAACTAGAAATCAACAAGAAAAACTATAGAAACTATAGAAACACATGAGACTTTTGAAAGGCAGTGAGATATGAAAGAAATCAGAGGGGAAATTTAAAAATTTCTAGAATCAAATTAAAGTAGAAAACCAACCTACCAAAATCTATAGGATATAAAAGAAATATAAAAAGAGAAGCTTAAATCTTTGTATGCCTACATTAAAAAATGGAGCAATCTCAGATAAATGACCAAATGATTTATTTCAAGGCCCTAGAAAAACAAGAACAAAGTGAACACAAAATCAGTAGAAGGAAAGAAATAATAAAGGTCAGAGCTGAACTAAATGAAATAGAGACAAAAAATAAATAAAACAAAGATCAATGAAACAAAGAGTTGCTTCTTTGAAAGGATAAACAAGATTGTCAAACCCTTAGTCAATCTACACAAAGGAAAGTGTCAGATCAAGCAAGGCAGGCAGCGATCAAAGGAGGCTGATTTAAAAGGGCCGCTGAATGAGGCTTTATTGAGATATCACTCCTGGGCAGAACTCAATCAGACCCACAGAGTGGACAGGAGAAGGATCTGAGGAGAAACCGCATGGAAGCTTGACCAGACTGGACTTTTATGGAGCTTACAGCAGGAAGGGAAGGGCTTGGGACAGGAAAAGGTATTTTTAGGGTCCCTTGTCTCTTTGGAGTTGGTCAGGGGAGTTGGCTGAACTCCAGGATTGGCCAGGGGGGTCCTGCTGATTGACAGGTGTTTCCACTGGCACCTGATTGATGTTCCTTTCCTGTTCGGGCTGCTTTGTTCTAAGTCACCACCAAGTCGCCACCACCGACCTAACATCTCGGCCTTTTTGGTGATACAGGGTGGTGAATTTCATCTAGCTACTTCCTGCTTGTTTAGGGGCGTCGGGGAAAGGGGGTGGCTCAGGTGTAGGTTCGGTGGGGAGGGGACTGTAGAAGTGTAGGAGCATCTGGTTGTAGGTCACTCTGGCAATTTCACTTGTGCGCTTTGGAGTGAACCTGAGGAGGCAGGGAGCAATTATTAACAGAAGTCCTATTATTAATATAGGAGTGAGAATGGGAGTCAGACATGCAATGAGGGTTGAGTTTGGCTAGCCTGGCAAAGGGTGGTTTGATGGTTGCTGTTTAAGCCTTTCACCCAAATGGCGGAGGGTATCGACATTCTCTTTGACCAATCCAGTTTCATTGATATAGTAGCAGCATTCTTCTTTCAGGAATAGGCAGGTTCCTCATTTATCTGCTGTCAACAGATCTAGGGCTCGACAGTTCTACAATGAGATTAGGGCAAGAGATGTTATTTGCCGTTGTAGGGAAGCGAGAGAGGTGGCTGATGCCTCTACTGCTTCCCGAAGTTGTTGTTCAAGCTTCTGAGTAGTGGTTACTGCATAACCAAGTCCACCTGCCCCAAGTCCAGGGGCAGCAAGGGAGGAGGCCAGGGAGAGTCCACTACTACTGGTAGAAAGACAGCCCTTCTTGTCCTGGAAAGGGAGGTGGTGACAAGCCATATTAATTCAGCCTCACTGTACAAAGTTAATTGGGGACCAAGGTGGAAGGAACACAATAAAGCAAAAAGCATGTTGAGGCTTAGATTTTTTGTTAGGGTACCACTGTACCAGGAAAAGAACCCGGCGGAGCAAAGGTTGGGGAAGAAATTCGATCAATTTGGACACAGGGTGCTGAACCAGAGGCAGTGTAGCAGCAAGAGAAATTCCCTGATGAGTTACAGAAAAGAGGTACTTCCTCAAAGGCTGGAGAGGGGGGTCCTTGGGGTCTAGTTGAGGTATTGAGCAGAAAATCAATGGGAATCACAGTTAATGGAGTATGATACAGACCTGCACAGAGGAAACAGTCTGAAATGTTATCCACTTTGGACAAATTGAGAAACTGAAGGCCCTGACGTATTAGGGCCACCCATGAGAAAGGGTCAGCTTCAGGATAGGCACCTGCATCCAGCTGGTGTTGGAGTTCCCTCTCTTGCTCCTGGGTGGTCATGTGAACTTGAGGGAGCTCTTGTATATACATTCTCCATATTCTGATAGAGGCTGAGGGGTGTTTGGCAAAACCCCAAGAATAAAATTGACCATTAACACCAGAAGCCCATTTTGGGTTCCATGGGTCCCAAATAGTTAAGGGCACCCGCCATAGGTGTCAGGCCAGCACTTACAGGATTCCTCAGTTTGGTCTTCTATGAAGCACAGCATTGCTGAACATAAGTGGGACGAGGCAGCCCAGTTGAATCCAGTAACATTAAGGATGACCGCCAGATTGCAGCCAGTGAAAGGGCTATTGCCTTGACCCATAAACTGAGAACGGGCGGTGCCATCCTGTTGCCATGTCACTTGGATGTAGAAGCACCATCTGTGGGTTGGGATAGAAGCTTGGGAGAGATTAATGATTAATAACAGAAGGAGAGAGTTGGCGAGAAATCTTGAGTTT